GAACACTGCAGGCTTTTTTATTTTATTTTTTTTTATTGAGATCAAAAAAAAAAATTCCCAGGAAGCCACTTCTAGGTAAGGGGTTAGATTTTTTTTTATAAATTTATGTGACATGTGCAGTTATGACAATATAGACTATCTTATATATTGGAATAAACTAATAATATAAATAGATTTATTTTGTTTCAATTATATGAGAATAAACTGGTATTTGTATCTTTAAAATGATTTATTCCTCTCATTTATAATGCAAATGCCAATGAGTTTAAGTGTAAGTAGTATTCTTAACTGAATTATGTAAAATTTTGGTTCAGGAATGTGTTTTATCATTTTGTTTGTTGTATCACATTATCACATATATGTAGTCCTTATCACCAAATTCTCTGGATGTATCTACAAGTTATATATTGCACTAAATGCTTATATATATGTTTGTTTTTTAAATATCTGCATGATTCGTATTGCTTATATTTGTGGTGATTTAAATTCCATTTTTACTGTTTTCATAAAAACCTTGGTATTATATAATATCCAAAATGAATTTGGTCAAAATGTTGTTTACAGATACTTTACTAATATTATGCATTGAAGTGTTGGTATTTCATGCACATTGGTACCAGTACAGTATTATTTTTATTGTCCATAATTGTTTTGCTATGTGCAAATATATGCACACTTTACATCAGACAGCATCTACATGGCACTTACCAAGGGCATAATGTGAGTTTTAATTTGAGGCTCTACTTCAAAGCTTAGAAGTAACTATGCAAATTTTTAAGGAAGTGTGCGATTCCACCGATCTGCACATATTCGATGTGAAACCACGGAGATGGATAAGACATCCGCATTAATCGCCAGCATTTTCCATCGACTTTAGTATCATTATTTTAATTATATGAAAGTATACTTGCAAATAGTAATTTAGATCCCTTTTTAAGACACTTTCTGATACATTTTTATGATTCGGCAGAAACGTAAAACAGATATTGTCCGGAATACCTAACAACCACTCTGTGCCCGCGACCGCACAGCCGGCCATGTTTTCTTCTACAAAATGATGTTGTTTGTGGGACCTTAGTAACAATATCCAAGGGGCGGGCTTAGTGGAAAGGTTTTTCGAAAAATGAATTCTGCACAAACCGGTAGATCACCTGTGGATTTAAAATATTCTGGATGGGCCACTGGTTGACAATGTTTTCATAATGGTGTACAAATTCTAGAATTTGTGCAAATCAGTTGAGCATGCACACTTCCTTTAAGAATTTGCATAGTTAATTCTAAGCTTTGAAGTAGGTAGCCTCAAATTAAAAAACACATTATGCCCTGGGTAAGCGCCATGTAGACGCCAGTCGGATATAAAGAAAAAAACTTTTATATTTTTCTTTGAAATTTCCATTTTTTTCATGCCGGTGAGTGTGCTAACTCCCCAAAAAAAATTGTTTTTTTGTTATAGTTATTCAGATGTTAAGAAACAAATACATTAGAAAAACAAAACTCCACTTGCATTACAAGAATTTGCACAATACTCATTCAAGATGATTTCAAGTATTTGTGAAATAATCTTGTTTATTTTTAGTCTCATGTATACTTTGATTGAAACCAGGAACTCAAACCCAATATTGCCCAGGGGCAGACCCAAAACATTTTTGAAACGTCTTATTTCAATACATGGCATTGTATGTACTGAAATGTTAAAGTGTAGTGGCAAAACAGATGGAAGTGGTGTGTACACACATTCATGGTTAAAGCTATCAAAATTATATATTTTTAAGTACAATATTGGGTTTGAGTTCCTGGTTTCAATCAAAGTATACATGAGACTAAAATAAACAAGATTATTTCACAAATACTTGAAATCATCTTGAATGATTATTGTGCAAATCCTTGTAATGCAAGTGGAGTTTTGTTTTTCTAATGTATTTGTTTCTTAACATCTGAATAACTATAACAAAAAAACAATTTTTTTTGGGGAGTTACCACACCCACCGGCATGAAAAAAATGGAAATTTCAAAGAAAAATATAAAAGTTTTTTTCTTTATATCCGACTGGCGTCTACATGGCGCTTACCCATGGCATAATGTGTTTTTTAATTTGAGGCTACCTACTTCAAAGCTTAGAATTAACTATGCAAATTCTTAAAGGAAGTGTGCGTGCTCAACTGATTTACACAAATTCTAGAATTTGTACACCATTATGAAAACATTGTCAACCAGTGGCCCATCCAGAATATTTTAAATCCGCAGGTGGTCTACCGGTTTGTGCAGAATTCGTTTTTCGAAAAACCCATTAACGTCAGACGTAAAACCTATTGTATTATACAAATGATGAGTTTCTATCAAGTTGCCCCAGGACCCTTGCATCACCCCACCCTTTAATTTAAAGAAACAGACCTTGTCTGTCAATCAAGTAAGAAATTACCGAAGAAGTTACAACAATGATATAAAGCATACATAGCAAACTCCTAGTAATCAATTACTACCACTGTTAAACGAATAAGCAATGGTGCCATGATGCAGCGTTGGATTATCAGCAGATATCAGCAGGCAGTCCGCGTTTAACACCCGTTCGGGCTAGAACTGGAAATGACCGTTTCCAGATTTATCCCGTGTTAGACTCCACAAAAAACTTGCTCAAACGCACCCCAAGTATTAAAATTCGCGATGGTGTGGATTATGTATTATTATATATTTATTTATTTATATATTTATTTCAAAAACATCCACAAATCCCAGTAAAAACTGAATTGCTTGGGATTTACATAATAAAGCATAATTACAAAAAGACAATTATAGAAAAAGACAATCATAAAAAAGGACAAATTCACAGATTAATAAAAAATATAAACAGATAAAAAGAAGCAAAAAAGAGGGAGGTAAATATTATATACAAATTTTGAAGTAGAAAGAGGGATGTAAAAAATATAACAAATATTACAATTTCTTATCCGAGATTGATCAGTACACCTTTTGGTTTATGTTACTTAATTGACTTGAAATCATATTGAATGATTATTGTGTAAAGTCTTTTTTCTAATATACTTTTTTCTTTATCTGAATAACTATAACAAATTATTAAATTTAAAAAATACTAAAAATTACTGACAGAATGTTAACATTGCTGTATAAATTAAAAGTAGCAAATGCAAAAATTCAGCCAATTAAAATAATTACCAGAATCAGAGGCAAATTTAGGGGAGCCAGCCTGCCCCTCCCCCCCCCCTTTCGGACATCTCTAGATGTAGAGAATAGACCCTTCATTATTTACAATTTATTAATAAATGTTCTTAAGGTAGGAATTTTACATAGAAATTTTTAAATACAGTAAGAAAGTATAATACATACTAATATTAATTGAAATGTATGCGTGCATTTCAATACTTAGAGGATGTATTATAGTTTCTTATCTGAGATTAATCAGTGGACTTTTCAGTTTCTATGTTACTTTCAATTGATACCATCTTGAATGATTATTGTGTAAATCCTTGTAATGCAAGTCAAGTTTTGTTTTTATAATATATTTGTTACTTTATCTGAACAACTATAACAAATTATTAAATTAAAAAATGAGTGAGTGCTAAAAATTACTGACAGAATTGCTCTATAACTAAAGTAACAAATGCAAAAATTCAGTCAGTTAAAATAATCAACAGAATAGGACACTCATTAATTAAAAGTTAATAAATACTCTTAAGGGAGACTTTTTTTATACCTTGTTTAGGGAACCCGCCACCTGCCAATAATGACGATTTTCAATAAAAATATAATTTTATTTTTGGCCAATTAGTGCACCGGACCCCACAAAAAAAAATGGAAATTTCAGTTCTTAAAGTTTACATAATTTCCCCCCCCCCCTAATTCTTTGACATCTTTAGTAAAATATGTTCGCGATACAAAGTATAAAAAAAAAAAAGAGGTTGATATAATTTAGAAACTAAAAGTTATAGGAATAGGTAGAGATTCATTTTGAAAGTAACCTACTTCTAAGGTTAGTAGAAAAAGATATGAGAGTAATAAGGAAGTAAGCAGGATAATGTCAGAAAACGGGAATGTCTGCAACTGGTATGTTTCTGTTCCTTAAAACCAACAACCAACTTCATGTCCTCAGCATGACATTAAACTCTTTAATGCATGGCATTTCTGCTTAGTCCAATAGTATTCACCTTAACCGCATGGTGTATTAGATGGTAACATTATTTGTGTATAGGAAATTAAGTGATGGTAAATTTTTGCTATCAGATCTGCATAAGATTTTAATTGTAACAGCATGTTCTTGGAGATTGTGTCATTTCAAACTTTGTGGGATGGAATAGCGATTCACATTGTACACCCTGTAACTATTATAAGGCACTTATATCATTGAGAATATTTATATTAATGATTCTTATTCTGTTTCCGTAATTGAAAAACCACTATGACAACTATGAATTATAGACATTGCACTGTAGGTCATCTGTATACAGATTATTATTACTTAATGATCATTATTAAAGTTATCATCAACATTATTAAAAAGAGCGTCCCATCTCAGCCTGATATTAAGGGACCCTCTTACATAAATGAAATAGAAATAGTAGATATTTCATAAACTAAGTGTAATAATAGACTAAGGTACTGGAGATATTTTTTTAGCTATTTAGATAGCTTGTACCATCACAGGATTTGAAACCAGGCTGCTGGGGTCAGAAGGCAAACATCTTAACCATCTCCAGTATGGTTACCACTATTCAAAGCAGCATATTGCTTTATGATATCGTGAGATTCTAATGGGAATGTACACCTAATGGTGCAGTGGCGTGGCCAGGTGGTACTCAGGTTGCCCCTTTCCAAATTACTGTATACGCCACTGTGAATCTCCCTGTGTCACATAGCACATCATTTTCTGAGACATTAGTAAAGCATGGCCTATATGCATGATGCAGTACATAATAGTTTTTGAAAAATCACCAGTGGCGGCTGCAAAAACTTCCTATTACCATACTTTTTTTTATGTTATCTTGCAGAGTTCCCCATATATTGTACCCATATGGCCGCATTCAGTTGAGTATAAGCTACAGTCATACAAGGTCAAAGTTAATGGTTATTGTGCAGAAGGCTACGTAAGTTTCATCGCTTTAAATTAGCGTAATATAAAAACCGAACAAAACCTTATCATACCATATGTTTACAATCATTTTGTAATAACAATACTGTTTGTACAGACCCTTATATTATAATATATATCTTAATTTATATTATGTCTGCAGAAAGTTTATTTTTATTAAATTAATAGAAGGATGATTGAATGAATTACCAGTTCATCCTTATTAAGTACATACAGGAATGATCATTATGACACCAATACACCAAATATACCAATTTACTTCTACTCACTTATACATACTTTAATGTCGCATTTTTATTTCTTAGCTCTATAGGAAACATATGTGTAAGTAGTTTTTTTTTTTGTTTTTTTTATTTTTATTTTCAGGCAGCTTATTGGTGTTGGTTCAGACCATACATCAAATTCATACGTTCGCTTATATTTAATGCCTGACAAGAATAACCGGCAGAAGACTAAGGTTGTCAAGAAAACTAGAAATCCTGTTTTTAATGAACGGTATGAAAATTTAATTCTTTTTTATTTTTTTCATGACTTTTTTTTTGTATTTGATTCTAATTAACAAACAGTTTTCAGGCAAACAATATATTCATGATAAGAGTTTATTGTGATAAAACATCATCATCAATTATATTATCAATTAGCAAGGAAATATATTATATAAAACCTGTCTCTTATACACATCTAGATGTGTATAAGAGACAGGTGCTACTCAGATGGAGGATACTGGCCTATATAATTTA